GAATATTTCTGGCCAGAAATGCATTGTAGAAAAGTTACTAACTTTATCTTCTGGCTTATACTATTTAAAAATTAGTACAATTGAAGCACACTCTATCGTAAACCAGAAGTTTACGGATTCAAATACTTTTGTGCTTTGGCATGGCCGTTTGGGCCATCCCGGATCAATAATGATGAGACGAATTACTGAAAATTCGAGTGGGCATCCATTAAAGAACCTGAAGATTCTTACAAATGACGAATTTTCTTGTGATGCTTGTTATCAAGGAAAAATGATCACTAGACCATCACCAATGAAGGTTGGTATTGAATCCCCTGCCTTTTTAGAGTGTATACATGGGGATATATGTGGACCTATTCACCCACCAAGTGGGTTGTTTAGATATTTTATGGTCCTAATAGATGCATCTTCAAGATGGTCTCATGTGTGCCTACTATCATCTCGCAACCTGGCGTTTGCAAAGCTATTAGCCCAAATAATTCGATTAAGGGCACAATTCCCAGATTATCCTATAAAGGTCATTCGCCTTGATAATGCTGGAGAATTCTTATCTCAAGCTTTTGATGATTATTGTCTATCAGTTAGGATAAAAATTGAATATCCTGTAACTTATGTTCATACTCAAAATGGCCTTGCAGAATCATTTATTAAATGCATGCAATTGATAGCTAGATCACTACTTATGAAAATAAAATTGCCCACTATTGTTTGGGGCCATACTATCTTGCATGCAACATCACTTATCCGTCTCAGACCGACACATTATAATAAATATTCTCCGTCACAATTAGTTTTTGGTCATGAACCAAATATTGCCCATCTACGAATTTTCGGATGTGCTGTATATGTGCCAGTAACACCACCATAACGTAGTAAGATAGGACCACAGAGAAGGATAAGAATATATGTTGGGTTTGAATCACCCTCTATTATTCGCTATCTTGAACCATTGACAGGAGATTTATTTACTGCTCGATTTGCAGATTGTCGGTTTGATGAAACAAATTTTCCACAATTAGGGGGAGAGAAAAAGGAAATCAAAAGAGAAATTGTGTGGAAAATTTCATCATTATCTCACTTTGATCCCCGTACCCCTATATGTAATCAGGAGGTCCAGAAGATCATCCATTTACAGAATATAGCAAATCAAATGCCAGACGCATTTACTGATTTGAAAAGGATAACTAAGTCACATATCCCAACAAATAATGTGCCTATCCGAATTGATGTCCCAGTAGGACCATCCACTAGCATGAGAGCTAGTGAACCTAAAGCACGCCTGAAGCGTGGTAGGCCTTTGGGTTCTAAGGATCGAAATCCTCGAAAAAGAAAATCGACAAATGATCAAAACGATACTATGAAGGGATCTCCTGAAGAGACCCAAAATCTGATTAGTTCTGAGATTCCTGAAGAAATCAATGAACCCGAAGCTCATGTGAGTGAGGAACTTTTAATAAGTTCGATCGGTGATGGGATTAATTTAAATCGATTTGAAATAGTGGTGGATAATATTTTTGCATATAATGTTGCACTTAATATTATGCAAGATAGTGAGGATCTTGAACCTCGATCTGTCGAAGAATGTCGACAAAGATCTGATTGGCCAAAATGGCAAGAGGCAATTCAATCGGAATTGAAGTCACTTGCTAAAAGAGAGGTCTTTGGACCAGTAGTCCAAACACTTGCTGGTATAAAACCATTTGGTAATAAATGAGTTTTTGTGCAAAAAAGGAATGATAAAAATGAAGTTGAAAGATACAAAGCTCGCCTTGTTGCATAAGGATTCTCACAACGACTGGGAGTCGATTTTGATGAAACATATTCACCTGTTATGGATGCCATAACATTTCGATATCTCATCAGTTTAGCACTACATGAAAAGCTTGAGATACATCTAATGGATGTAGTTACATCCTATATGTATGGCTCACTTGATAATGAAATTTATATGAAAATCCCTGAAGGATTTAAAATGCCTGAAGCAAAGTCTCAGGAAATGTATTCAATCAAATTACAAAGATCTTTGTACGGTTTAAAGCAATCTGGGCGCATGTGGTATAATCGCCTTAGTGAATATTTGCTGAAAGAAGGTTACATAAATGATGTTATTTGTCCATGTATTTTTATAAAGAAAATGGCATCAGAATTTGTTATACTTGCTGTTTATGTTGATGACATAAATCTTGTTGGAACTCCAGAAGAGCTCCAAAAGGCAATTGAATATCTTAAGAAAGAATTTGAGATGAAAGATCTTGGAAAGACAAAACTTTGTCTTGGTCTGCAAATTGAACATTTAGCAAACGGGATCTTTGTCCATCAATCTGCCTATACATAAAGGGTCTTAAAACGCTTTTACATGGACAAAGCGCACTCATTGAGTACACCAATAGTTGTTCGATCACTTGAAGTGAATAAGGATTTGTTCCGACCTCCAGAAGAGGACAAGGAACTCTTTGGTCCCGAAGTACCCTATCTCAGTGCAATTGGTGCACTAATGTATCTTGCTAATGCTATAAGGCCTGACATAGCATTTTCCGTTAATTTACTAGCAAGATATAGTTCTTATCTTACACGAAGACATTGGAACGGGATTAAGCATATATTGCGATATTTAAAGGGAACTCTTGATATGGGTTTGTTTTATGCTAACAAAGGTAGTGCAGATCTTGTTGGTTATGCAGATGCAGGTTATTTATCTGATCCCCATAAATCTCGATCTCAAACCGGCTACGTATTTACATATGAAGGTATTGTCATATCATGGCGCTCCACAAAGCAATCTATTGTTGTTACTTCTTCAAATCACGCTGAGATAATAGCTATTCATGAAACAAGTAGGGAATGCGTATGGTTGAGATCAATAATTCATTTTATTCGAGAAAAATGTGGTTTGGAATGTGAGAAAAGACCCACAATTTTATACGAAGACAATGCTGCATGCATAGCCCAATTGAAGGGAGGATTTATAAAAGGAGATAGAACGAAGCACATTTCACCAAAATTATTCTACACACACGATCTTCAGAAAAATGGTGACATTGATGTGCAACAAATCCGTTCAAGTGATAATCCAGCAGATTTATTCACTAAATCTTTGCCAACTTCAACTTTTGAGAAGATGGTATACAAGATTGGAATGCGGAGACTCAAATATTTGAAACAAGGTTTTCATCAGGGGGAGTAAAATACGCGATGCACTCTTTTTCCCTTACTAAGGTTTTTTCCCATGGGGTTTTCCTTATAAGGTTTTTAATGAGACACCTAGCAATGCGTATTACTAAATATGTGTACTCTTTTTCCATCACTATGATTTTTTTCCCAGGTGGTTTTTCCTAGTAAGGTTTTAATGAGGCACATTATCTTATAATGAACATCCAAGGGGGAGTGTTATAAATATATTATATTATGGATGTTCATTTAGTACTCCGTTATAAATAAGCTTCATGAAGAAGCTTATCCATATGAGACTCCACCATAAATATGTTTATCTATTTAAGTACTCTATTGGAAATAAGCTTCCTGAAGAAGCTTATCACTTTGGTACCCGGTTATAGATAAACATTACCCTCGGTAGAAGATTATCCATACCGAGTATAATAAGCTTATCCTTTCAGTACCCAGTTATGGATAAACATTACCCCGGTAGAAGATTATCCATAGCGGATATAATAAGCTTATCCTTTCAGTACCCAATTATGGATAAACATTACCCCAGTAGAAGATTATCCATATCGGGTATAATAAGATTATCCTTTCAGTACTCCGTTATAGATAAACATTGCTCTCAGTAAAAGATTATCTATATCTGGTATAGTAGCAGCTTACACAACAGTTTCCTTTCTTCTATAAATAGAATAGATTTCAGTTCATTATGTACATCAGTTTGAATTCGAATAATATAACAGTTTCTCTCTATACTTGTCTTTACTTTAAAGTCTTTATTTTATAACACGTAGTATCATTTAGCAATAATCAACGGTTACCATTTCAAAAGTTACCAAACACACCCTTAATCTATTCCTTTTTTCCCGGAACGTCATTAATCCTCTTAATTGAAGTACGATTTAGGGCTTCTTCTCTTCCAGTTTTTCCTTTCGAGGTAAATATCCAACTCCTTTTGCTTTTCCTCTTCTTCCTCCCCATCACAAAGGTAAAATTCTTCTTTTCCTCTTCAATATTTTTTAATTTGATTTCCTCTTCTGATTTCATTAAATTTTTTCTCTCATATTTTGTTTTCTTACTGTATCTCTGTGTTGAATTACTGATTCTTGCTTAACTTTAGTCTTTAGGTCGACTTCCTCTTCTTTCTCCTCTTTCTGGTTTTGGGAATTGTGTTTCTTTTATGTTTGGTTGGTGTTCAATTATCTTTATATACAGTATTCAGGATTTCTGTCTGATTTTTAGTCGTTGTAGCACTGAACTTTGCATCTTTTAGTGCAGCGGTCATGTATGTGCAAATTGAAGCCACTATATATATGCAAATTGTCGCCAATTTCTTATATCTGTCTATCAAGTCTGTTATTGCAAATTAGCGACGTAGATGTATCTGCACATTCTCTGAATAGGAATCCTAGGAATCATGTTGTGTAATTACACACCAGCTTGTGTATATAGAATTTTGGTCATAGTAAGAGTCCCATGACATCCTGAGCCGAGGGTCTATTGGAAACAACCTCTCTACCTGCATTAGATAGGGGTAAGGTCTGCGTACATACTACCCTCCCAGACCCCACTGTTGGGATCAAACTGGATTTGTTGTTGTTGTTTAAGAGTCACATGACAACTCTTTTAAGCCAAGAAATAATTCTTAATCTTTGTTTGACTGGTCGTTCAGCAGTTGCGCGCATTGCTTTCACATATAAAATTGATATTGTTTGTATAAGCAACCTCCACTTCCAACCAAGAGGTTGTGAGTTCGAGTCTCCCCAAGAGCAAGGTGGGAAGTTCTTTGAGGGAAGGATGCCGGGATCTATTTGGAAACAGCCTCTCTACCCCAGGGTAGAGGTAAGGTCTCCGTACACACTACCCTCCCCAGACCCCACTAAGTGGGATTATACTGGGTTGTTGTTGTTGTTTGTATAATGTACTGGTTAAATATAACTGGTGTGAGAACTTTGGATTTGACTGCTCGCCTGCATTTCTCCTCTTCTGTTTCCCTTCACCCCAAAATGTGCCTGTATATAAAATTCATGCTAATGCTTAACGATGAAATTCTATTTCAAGGCTTGTGGTTCTTTTTCTTCATTATGCACATTGACTATATCAGGTCCTTTTAAGTTGCGCTTACTCATATTAAATACAAGTTCTTCGTTTATCAACAAATACCTAGGTGTAATACAATACATTGACCATGTCAGATTAGCTGTTAATCCCACAAAATACAATCTTCATTTAACTGATTGCGTGAGAAGAGACGTTCAGTGAAAAAATAAACAAATGACACTTTCAACTTCTTCCTTATGGGAGATCACAGGTATATGCTCTATCAGGAGTGGTTTGTTAAGTTTAAATCATAATTTAGCTTCTTTCAATTTGCAGAGTTTATGCTTGAATTACATGGTCATATATTGAGATGCATATAAATTCATTTTCACCCTTACAAATAAGTGATAAGGAGAATAGAAAAATAGTCATCTCAACTTTTGAGAAAGATGCTTTAACAAGAGCAATAGGAAAGTAGAAAGATAAAAGGAAGATTGCGAGATATTAGATCTGACGGATGTAAATGAGTATAGATCTCAGACGGATAAAAAATAGTGGCGACTTTAATACAACGTGGCCAATGAAGGTGGCCGAAGTGATGGTGCAGAGACGTTGGAGTCTACTGCACATAAAGTGTGGGTATCTTCATGTGTTTTTACATGTAAGTCATAGCATGAGATTTTGTACTTCATGAATATATTAGCGTTTTATGTTTTTCTCTTCATACTTTAATATTTTATTCTCTTATGCCATGCATTCTTCTTCCCCCCCCCC